CTGCTGCAGCTTCTGCGATAGCTATCACACAAACTGTACAAACTGYTGCATCAATAAATAATGTAACTCAACAAGTAGTACAAGCTTTACAAACACAAAACATTATTAATGATCATCTTAGAAATGGAATTCTGATGCTCAATCAAAGAGTCGATTTACTTCAAGAAGAAATAGACATATTAATGGATTCCTCTGCTTTAAGCTGCTTACAAAACTTACCTGGACCGTGTATCACTTCTATGCATTATGATAATATTTCTCAAGCAGGAGATATTTCCAGACAACTAGGAGCCACGCTTAATGGCACATGGAATGTAAAGTTTCAAAATTTAACTAATCTATTGAGCCAACAAATTGTAACTCTTAATAGTACCAGGGTATCTTTGCTGACGGGGTCATTGGTGGTACAATTTTTCCAAGGGCTTCTCACTTGGAGCCATCAATGGCTTGGTATCGTGGCATTTTGTATCCTTCTCCTTCTGCTTGTGGCAGGTTGTTTATGGTGTTTGTGTAAATTACACAGACAACAAAAAGAAACCACTATGGTTGTTAAACTGGCCATGATGGCCCTAGAAACAGGGCAAGATCCACAAGTATGGCTAAATATGTTGGGCCAGTAGTCAAAGACGGGTAAAATCCAATTACAATGGTACCAACCTAAGCCAGGAGGCTGACAATTTGAGGTCAGACCATCCAGTGATGGGTAAGAACCATATGTAGTATTGGACTACATAAGACAGGCACAGTCCCTAAACCACATACTTATTGTTTAATAAAACAAAAAGGGGGAGATGTTGGAGGCCGTGACCAAGTCAAGATGGTGCCTGGCAGTTTGCCAGAAGGAGTGGTTTGTGAGGCAACGCCACCGAGCCATCAAGATGGTGGGGATTCCTTATTGGCTGATTGCTCTATCTGTAGGAGAGCAATGCTATGATTGGATGATGCTGATTGAGTCAAGCTGTATGTAATCAGTTAGCTATATATACCTTTGCTGTTCCGCAATAAAGCAGTTCCTGCTTCAACCTTCACAAGTTGCTTGTCACCTCCCGGTTATTTCGCCCAGCTGGACTGCAGTAATAGGTACCACTGCAGTCTCCATTGTTCATTGACCAAAGTCATACAGGGAGTAAGTACCTGAGCCAGGCTTCATACAGAGGCCTGTTTGACTCCAGAGTTCATCCTCTTAATTCATGGTGAAGGAGACAAAGGATGTTATGAACAAATGTGATGATAGGGTTATAAGAGAGACTACAGAACTGCCAATCGTAGACATTGCCCTATGGTGGATACAGAGCATCATGGAGTTCAGTGGTAGAAAAGCACCTGCAAAGTAATGAACAATCATGAATTTTTTTTTCTCTAGTACTAGTTTTGGGGTTAGTTCTAAAGAACATGGCAGAAATTGTGAACCAGGGTAATATATATTCCATGTCAGGAAATGAAGGTCTAAGGTAGGAATGAGATTGTGTCTGAAATCAAGTTTGATTGAAATGTAGCACTCCTATTCAATGTATCACTCCCATTTAGTGAAGTGATAATAGCCACTATTTATTTTTATCTTTTTTTAAAAATATTTTTTTAGTTGTCAATGGGCCTTTTATTTTATTTATTTATTATGCTATGCTGAGAATCCAACCCAATGCCTCACACATGCTAGGCAAGCACTCTATCACTGAGCCACAACCCCAGCCCCTATTTCTATCTTTTAATGCCAGACTTTTTTTTTCTCTTTGATACCAGGGATTGAACTTATCCACTGAGCCACATTCCCAGCCCTTTTTATTCTTTATTTAGAGACAGGGTCTCACTAAATTGCTCGGGCCTCATTAAGTTGCTGAASATGKCTTTGAATTTGCAATCCTCCTGCCCCAGCCTTCTCTAGTTGCTGGGATTACAGGTGTGTACCACCGTGTTCTGCATAATATCAGACTCTTAACCTGTGTTATTTCTTATCGTCAAGACAATGCTACGGGGTAGATATCACTAGACTTGATTCATAAATGATAAGGTGGAGGTTCATAGGGCAATTATGTGATGGAGTCAAGATTTGAATCAGTCTTCCTGAAATCACATTTCTCCCCCTACTACTTTAATGTGCTACCAAACTTCAGAGAGATGGAAAGCTAAGCTGGAAGATACTGAGAAAAGTCTTGAAGGCTGAAGTGAGAAGTTTTTATTTACCTTGGCAGGTAGAGGTGGGGTAGGTAAAAAACTCAAGCTGACATCTGGGAAGACTGCTACAATCTTTTGTGCAGTAGGAATGAAAGCCTGATTTAGAAGAGCACTGGTACAAGTGGATGAAAGGGGAGTGCATACAGWAAATATGCAACAGTGCTCCATTTGTGTTCAATGAACTGAAATGCCTTCTGCTGTCATGTACACCTAAGTAGAACAAATAAAAAATAATAAAAAAATTCACCAATGAGCAGGTATAGTAGCGTGCATCTGTAATCCCAGTGGTTTGGGAGGCTGAGGTAGGAGGATTGAGAGTTCAAAGCCRGCCTCAGCAAAAGCGAGGTGCTAAGTAACTCAGTAAGACTGTGACTCTCAATTAAATACAAAAGAGGGCTGGGGATGTGGCTCAGTGGTAGAGTTCAATCCCTGGTACCTCGCCTATCCCCCAAGGGGGGAAAAAAAAAGAAATATGAAACAATGTTTTTTTAGAGACTTAATGACCAATTGGGTGGGAGCAAGGCAAAGAGAATAACATACACTACTTCTGAACTTTTGAGCCTCTTAGTTCACAGAAGGATGTTCCATGATGGCCATTAACAGAAATACAGGGGCAGGGAAAGAAACTGGCTCTGTAGGGTTGAGTAGAGGGGAAATGATAAACTTCACTTGAGAGACAGAGGTCAGGAGGAGATGAGTAACAGCTAATCGGAGACTTAGTGTAAAGTTTTGGACTAAGACTTAGTTATCCAAAGAGAGGCAAGTGCCAAAGCCATAATAATCAACAAAGAATGTAAAGTGTAAAAAAATCCAATGTTGGTGTTTATTAAGAAGTAGGATGCCAGGCATGGTAGTTGCATGTTATAATCCTAGCTACTCCAAAGGTTAAGGCAGGAAGATAACAAGTTCAAGAAACTTAGGCCTTGTCTCAAAATAATTTTTTTTTTTTAAATGAAGGACTGGGGATGTGGCTTAGTGGTAGAGTACTTCCCTAACACACATGAAGTCGTGGATTCAATTCCTAGGAAGGCTGGACCCGGTGGTATGCACCTGTATTTCTACCTATTTTGGAGGTTGAAGTAGGAGGATCATTTGATCCCAGGAATTTAATACCAGCCTGGGCAGTATACTGAGACCACATTTCATACTGAGAGGGAAAAGGAAAGGGAGAAGAAGAAATAGGAATAAAAAGGAGGCCATACTGAACACCTACCATATACCTAACATTGGGGAGACTTCCAAAGGGTAACAAGGCTGTTTACATTCCATTTCTAATCTTGCTCCAGGGATTAATTACAGTTGTTAAGCTATGAACAAATAGTACAAAGCTTGATACACTCAAGAGCCAATCTGTAGGGTATAAACAGCAAGAGTTACAGGCTGAAAAAGGAAGGAGACTGATGTGTCAGGTATTTGGAAGGTGAAAGAGGAAAAAATCAGCACAAAAAAGTGGAAACTGAGCATAGTTTGATACCATAATAATGCTGCTGCTCACACCATGGTAGAAAATTTTGGTGTTTTTCTCTGTTGCCCAGCAGGTAGCATGGGGAAAAAGGAAAAGTAAGTTTTGGAGTAAAGGAGATCATAAATCTTGTATTTCCTTTTTACTAATGGTGGAATGTTGGGCAAATAGCTTAGCTTTTCAAAAGCATTTCCTCTTTTTCAAAAAAAGTGAGCATACTTACTATGGTGGTTGTTTACATTGAGCAAAATAGCATACATGTCAAGGTTGAGGWAAACCTAAATAACACTTTCCTTTTGTTGTTTTCCTTGCTACCACTTGCATAGTTGGGATGCCCACATTTCCCGTTTTTCCTTCCAGTGCATCAGTCTACTTTTTACACCTAAAASTTTCTAACATCCACTTAGCTCCTATGCAGGCCCAGCTGCAGGCCCTTTGAAGAGGACCCAGTTACTGCTTTCTGCTTTGATATGATCTTCTCCAYAAACATGTATTGAGCACCTACAATGTCCTAGACGCTATGCTCGGGCCTCCTGGGTATAGAGAGGTAAGAGAGACCTCTAAGTTTTCAAGTTAGTTTGAGTTTATTGTAGGAGTCTAGAAGGTGCAGCGATGAGCCCTCAGCTTGTAAGAGTAAGCACCTAGTGGAAGGTGGTCTTATCTGCAGAAGAGATGTCCTTTAAACTAAGTCTTCACAGAGGAAAGAATTCAACATGCGGAAACGGGGAAAAGAAGAAAAAAGCTGTGAGAAAATATATTGATCCCAGAGGGGTTCTCAGAGCACATCAGTGCCAATACCTACTGGGAGGAAACTTCGTGTTTGCTTTGGAGTCTTTAGTCACTAGATTGCAGGCTAAACARAACTCTAACCCTCGCGAATAAAACGGTCACAGTGACAGCAGTGGGTAACTGCAGCAGCCGCAGGACTGCAATTACTCTGAAACTGACTGAGGTGACGATTTATTTGGACGACGATTGGTGAAACATTGTAAACTCTCAGAAAGCTGCCGTTCCCAGACTTCGAGTTCATCCTTGTCAAGTCACTATCATGTTTTCTTCGCTGGGGGTGAAGTGCGCAGCCAGCAGGCCCAATTAGCGTCAAAGGGAAGGGGGAGAGGCGGGGGAGTCTCCTCTGCGGATATACTTTAGCTCCGCCCGAGTTCTGCTAGACTCAAACTTCGCCACACCAAACATGGCTTCCTCAAGTTTCCGCTCCTCGCTTGTTTCGCTCTCACYTTTTGGCCACACTCAATATGGCCCCAACACTGGGTTGCATTCCTGTGGAACCGTCTCGGGATAGTTCTCGCGAGGTTTGCCTGGGCCGGGACTGCTCCCGCCCTGCCCCGCGCTGCCGCCACCGCCACCGCCGCCGGCGCCGCTCCTCCTCCGTGTCAGTTGTTGGGCTGTAATGGCGACTGGGCCGCCGCTGCCGAAGTGACTCCCGGGCGAGGGAGCGGGCCAGACCAGCGCCAGAGAGAACTGCAGAGAGCCGCAGCTCAGGGGGGGGCTTGCTGTGGGGGAGGGGAGGCAGCCCTTCCGCCTCTCCTTCCTTCCCTGTGGACCGGCGGATCCCGGGAGCCGGTGCGAGGCGGGCGCCCGGTGCGTCCCCGGAGCGGGGAGGCCAGGCCAGGCAGCCCTGGGGCCGGTCGGGGCGGCGTCACTGCACCCTCCGCCAGGCCCCGCGGGATGCACCGTGGGAGCCGAGGGCGGAGGCGACACTCTCAGGTGAGCGGGAGAGGACCTGGCTGGGACCGCGGACGCTGGCTCAGCTGTAGCTGCCTCTGTCCGCGGTCCCGGGTTTTCGGAGCTGGCCAGAGAGGCGGGGCGGGGCCCCCTGGCCCTGCCTGGCGTCCCCTCCGGAGAACCTTCTTGGGTCCCCAGGCTTTTCCGGTAGGGTCATTCGGAGACCTGGGTTTCAGGTCCCACCTGTGCCTCCCGTAGACAAATTTCCTTGCTTACCTGCCGGAGTCTCTCCGAACCCTCTCTCGCCCTTCCTCTAGTCTGCATAGACCTAAGAACCTCTCACCTTTGGCCTCCGGAGAAGTGTTCCTTCTTCGTTTGGAGATCGAGCATATTTTGGGAAATTCCGGGGGACTGACTCCAGTGGTGGGGATGACTACTTTCTGTTCCTTTTCGGTGGGGGTAACATTCTCAAATACAGTGCAGGGAAAACTTTGATCTGCTCCAATTCAGAGGTTATAGAATGTAGTCTACCGGTTAATTCAYAAATGATTTGGAGCGTGGCTTTAAAAAGCTTTAAACTTTGGAAGTTATCAGTATCTACCCCCCACACCCCCGTTTAAAAGTAGCCCAGTATACTAAGTGATATAGAGTTAATATTGTAGATATGGGTTGGAATTTGCCTGGATTTTAGTTGCACATAGATGTAAATTTTAATGTTGTTTAAAGATAATAAGCAAATTCCTGCATTTGGGAAAAAAGTAGGTTGTCAAGAATAGAGATCATTATCCATATACTCTGCTTGATTGTTTTGACAGTGAGCTTTGTTTTGAATTTGGAGAAGTCGTTAATGTTGCCATGTTAACCATTTCTCCTGGGCCTGTATTTTAAGGGTTTTAAAGGAAAGTCTGTTCTCAGGAACACCCTGAGAAGTTTTGTAGAAGCAATGATAATAAAATGACTTCTAGAAGCAATGATAATAAGATGACTTCTATTTAAAACACTTCTTAGTTTAAAATATTTTTAAACCAGGCAGTGTGTTGGGAATAACTTGGGATTGTGATTTTAGGCAATTAGTTTTTAGGATTACAGTAGAAGTCACTTCAAATCCAAGCAAGTAATAATTAGTTCTGATATGCTAAATTGACAAATTTTAGTGATATAAAGTAAATCAGAATGATTGAATTGTTATCACATCAAATATAAGATACTTTAATAAGAAAAAATGTCAAGCTAGAATACATTGTATATATTGATAAATACATGTGTATCTCATCTTTTCATAGTCAGTAGCAGATCTTTGTAGTGATGGTGAGTTATACAAGTAAACAATTTACACATCTGTGAAAGAATTTTTCAGATTTTCTGAGATGTATTGGTGTGTAGTGTTATGTAAGATGGCTAATACTTGGACAACCAGCCTTCTGTGGGGTAATCAATGTATGAACTATGAAGTTTGTGATTTTTTTTCTTTTTATTGCCAGTCTTTTGACCATTTTATATCACTTCTATATCATGGACAGGAGAAAGGAGATGAAGTTCATATAAAAATACTTTGTATTTTTTAAATTACTGTGAGCTATATTGGGAGCAAAAAAGAAGCTGCTGTCTGAATTTTTTTTTGTGTGTTCCTTCACATACATTAATTTATTTTGTGTTCTTGGCACTCTTGTGAAGGAGGTATGACAAATAACCTTACTTTGCAGTTGTGGAAACCATCACACAAGAATATTTATTTTTGTAAATGCTGCTCTTATTTCTACAGGTAACCTAAAATTAGTTTTATTTAAAATTAACAGATACTTCTGGGACTTGGTATTATTTCAAAGTATTTTTAAAAATTCTGCTTTGTTCCTTTTTATATACCACTTGTTCCTTATTTCAGTTCTTAGAAAGTATTAGCATTTTCATACTTTTTTGTTAATTATTAATAAGTCATGGATTATTATAAGGGATCATTTTACTCCTCTATATACTTTTTGCTTAAACAAGGTTCTTACAAATTGTAGTGAAGCCAGACACTGTTGTGTATTCCTGTAGTCCAAGTGACTCAGGAGGCTGAGGCAGGAGGATTGCAAGTTCAAGGCCAGTCTTTGCCACTTAGGGTGACCCTGTCTCAAAATAAAAAAAGGCTGGGAATTTAGGTCAGTGATAAAGTGCCCCTAGATTCAATCCTCGGTACCATTTTTATTTATATTCTTTATTATATAAAACAAATATTAATTTGCTATGATCAATAGTGGCATAACTGAAAAGTTATGATCTTAGTAATTTTAATATAGAGACAACTGATGACTTAAAAGTGAACTTTAGAGTTATGATTGCTTCATTTTGCATTGTGGGGTAAGTTGTGAAATAGTTTTTTTCTTATTGACATTCCCCATGTCAAGCAATTTTTAATGTCATGGATAGTTAAAAAAAAGAACCAAAGATTCTACACTGATGTTGCATGGTACTGATGTTTTGATCATTATTATAAGTGTAATTTTATGCTTACATGTGGGTATTTGGGGTTGTTATTTGCCTTTTATATATGCTGTGTAAATTCCATGATGGCAGAAATCTTTAATTCACTATTATGTACCTAGTGMCTAGCATGTAGTAAGATAGTCAATAAGTATTAATTGAGTTAATTGACTGCAGAGTAGTCCTAGGATAATATTTAAAAAACAAAATAAAAATCTAGTTCTTAGTTCTTAGGCACATTTCAGATCTTAGGAATATACTCTAGAGGTATGTTCAAATTGCTAGGTATCAGGGGAATGACAGTCTAGGATTAAAAGCCACTGAGAATAAGCCTCAGGTGGATCCTGAAAACTTTATTGACTATTTTAATGATTTGCCTAGCTGCTCTGGCAATTGTTGTAATTTAAAAAAAATAGGAGGTTTAAGACCCTAACCTGTTATACTAGTACTATAATTATAGGCTTGTAATGACTTAAAGTCACTTCTTAATCACCACATTAAGAACTTTAAATCTTAAAGGCCACTTAGACCAATTCCCATGTTTTATACATAAGAAAACAGAGGATCATATAGGGGAAATATCTCACTCTTAGTTGGTTTCATAACAGGAAGAATCCACTAAACAGCTGCTAAGTCTGCGTTTGTTTAATGTATCAGATAATTATCTAATCAGAGGATAATTGCATTCATCCTAGAAGTCTATTCTGTATTAGTATCAATTAAAAATTCAAAGTGGACCTTTTCATGAGTCAAAAAAGTATGTTAACTTAAAAATGAATTTCAACCCTGTCCTTTGTCACTGGGATAAGTTGGGACAATTGGAACAACTTTCTGGGAAGAAATTTGACATTATTTATCAATATTAAAAGTATACATACTCTAATAGAATCATTTAATTTTTAGTTTATCCTACATAAATTTTAACACAAAAGCACAAGAATGTTCATTTTAGTATTATTTCCCAGTGTCAACTTTTATAAATAACAATAAATGCCCTAAATGTCGATTGATAGAGGAATGGTTAAAATTACAGTATATTTATTCTGTGATCACTCTGCAGTTGCTAACAAGTTTGGGGATATCTAAATTTACTTCATGAAAAACAGCTGAGTGTATTGTTCTGCATATGAACTATGCAGCAGACTTTCTGGGTTCAAATCCTAACTGTACTAGCTAACTGAACTGGCTGTGACCTCATCTATAAATAATAATTCTCACTTTACAGTATTGCTGAGAGAACTAGTTGAGTATTTATACCCCAAGTCAGCATAGTATGCATTATGTAAAGTCTTTGCTGTTACTATTATGTACTGACATGGAAGAATGTTCATGATATAATATTGAGTGCAGGAAATATGTTGCACTACACTATGTAATATGATTTGATTTATAAAAAATTGTGTCCAGGGATGGGGATATAGCTCAGTTGGTAGAGTGCTTGCGTCGCATGCATAAGGCCCTAGGTTCAATCCCCAGCAGCGCGCGCACACACACACACACACACACACACCACACATCCATAAGAAAAGAAATGTAGTTTTGTTTGCATAGAAAAAGTTAGCTGTTAGCTGCCTCAGCACCACATAAAAATAAATAAAGGTATTGTGTCCATCTATAACTAAAAAAATATTAAAACAAATAGTCCCACTTTTGTAAATTTTGAAATTTTGTTCTAAAATATTGCTTCAATATTTTCTTTTTTAAATATGTTTTACTTGCCAATGGATTTTATTTGTTTATTTGAATGCGGTGCTGAGGATTGAACCCAGGGCCTCACACATGTCAGGCAAGTGCTCTACCACTGAGCCACAACCCCAGTCCCAATATTTTCTTATATGATGTTATACATGTATTTCTGAATATAATTTTCAGAGATTTACAGATTTCATCAACAGAATATCACATGATTAGATCCAACTTTTGTTGATGGAAAGTTGAAGTTAATCTATGAAAATCCCTAATAAATGTATTTATTTTTCAACTAGCTTTGTGTCCTTTGGTAATATTTCTTAATTTCTAAGTGACTCCATAGGCTAGATTAGTGTTTCCAAACTCAGTTCTCAAACTATGCACCGAGGTTGGTTGCTMTGAGTACCACAGTGAGTTCACATGGACACAGAAGTATATCTGAAAACTTTGAAAGGAATGTAACAACTAACAGTTTGAGATGGTACAGTTGAGGTGGTGCTACATTTCTTTTGATGACAGTGTGTCTTCAAAAAGCCAGGTTTAGGGGATTGCAGCAATTAAAAAGCACTGTGGCTGGGTGTGGTGGTGCACTTGTAATCCCAGACTGGGGAGGCTATAGCAAGAGGATAAAGAATTCCAGGTCAGCCTAGGCAACTTTGCAATACTGTGTCTCAAAATAAATAAATAAATAAAATAAAATGAATAAATGAATAAAATAGAAAGGGTTGGGGATGTGGCTTAGTGGTTAAGTGTTCTTGGGTTCAACCCTCTCAGTACCAGTAAATAAATAAATTGCAAGTACCGTGCAAAATCAATGTGGAATAGTAAGTGAAGGTGGCAGTGGCCAAAATTGATTGAAGGTTTGAGAAGCTGTGTAATTTCTAATAGTT